CATCCTGCCGGTATGAAGCGAGCTGCAGCAGCAGTGATAGCCCTGCGGAACTTACGTTCACCGAGATGGACGTCGGTTGGTGTGGGGAGCGCTGCGAAGGTGTTTTCGGTAAACTCCGCGTAACCTTTCCAATCAGCTTTAGAAAAGTTGATATAGGTCCGGTGTTTGGCGGAGGCAAAGTCGGTTGGTTTATCAATCGAGATGACTATGGGTAGATGGTCTGATGCTAGGGTCAGCATAGGTCGCCACGTTATGCTGTTTATCAGACCAGCGCTGACTATTGTGATGTCTGGCGAGCTACTGCAGTTACCCATAATCCTGGTGGGTGCGTCGTCGTTCATTGTGAAGAATGTCGAATCGTCTATCTGCTCAGCCAAGTCTGTTCCCCTACGATCGTTTGACAGGCTTGAGTGCCAAAGATCGTGGTGCGCATTAAAGTCACCTACTACCATACGGTTTTCACCTCTGAGGAGCGCACCTATATCAGGGTGATATCCTGCCGGGCAGCAGGTGACAGGGGGTATGTATATGTTGAATATTTCGAGCTCGACATCGCCTGACCGGATAGCGATGCCCTGACATTCTAGGGTGGTATCCCTGCGGTCGATGTCTGCTTCGATAAGACGATACTGCACGTGTGGTGCGTGTGAACGCTAAGCCACCACCATTATCTCGCTCGCGATCTCGACGGTGCACGTTGTACCCGGCGCAATTCAACAAAGTTGAATTGCTATGCAACTTCGTCTCTTGGACCGCAGCTATTAATATACCATGCCGACACATGAAGACGGTTATCTCTTCAATCTTGCTCTGTAGCCCGTTACAGTTGAATTGAAGGAGCTTCATGTGGTTCGGGAGACGTGTCGTGATGTGGGGTGTGAGTGAAGTGTATGTTCTTGCCGCCGTTGGCTGTGTGTGCGGCTGAGGTGATTGCCGCCCTGTGGTGGTGGTGGGGGGCGTCGCAATTGGAGTCTGCGACCGAGCAGCGCAACACGGGCCCTCGAAGTTCCCCGTCCAATCTCGCGTGGTACGCAGACCTGAGCATGCCCTAAAGTGGCACCAGCCAAGGCAGGTGTTGCACTTGACTGATGTCACATTACGGAATATCCTGGTCTGACATACCGTGCAGATTGTAGGGGGAACCAGGAGTTGTTGGCGGCGGCGTGTTGGTGGTGGTGCGGTTGTGTGTGTTATGTGGTCTGTAGTGGCTGTGGTACGGTCTGTGGTGTTATTATGTTGTTGTGTTGTGGTGACTGTGTGTGGCTGCTGTGTGAGTGTGTGGGGCTGCTCGGGCGGACTATGGTTAGCCGTGGAGGCTGCTCTGTTTGAGCAACAGGGGGCCACGTACGACGTGGTCCACTGTCTGTGTGTCCGTAGTCCCGAGCAGACCCTGAGGTGACTCCACCCCTCGCAGGCATTACACTTGACTGAGGTGGAGTTGTGGTGTAGATCCCTTTACTGTCAATCCACTGGATGCTGGTTTGATAATGGCGAACGGACGCGAGTGTAATGGGCGCATAATTGTAGTTGAGGACCACTACCGGGAGGAGGGTTAAGGTGAGGCTGTGCTGAGTGCGCTTGAAATGTAGCGTAATATGGAAGTGAAACACATGTATGTGCCGGAAGTACCGCGTTCTGGACCGCCAACCACACTCATCGATAAGTACGGCATATCATCGGCATAGGGGCGGTGAGCAGTGACATGGGATGCAATTGCGGAGCATTTAATGCAAACGCTTCAGTTAAGCACGTTAACTGCTTTATCGATCACATGTTATATGATGGGTGTCGATAACGTCGATAAAGATGTTTAACTGGCAGTTAGAATTAACTAGACACGGTGCAAACGGCCCTTAGAAGTACCAAAAAATATTTATAATAAAGTTTTTTTAAATAACTAAATATAACTATATCACAGTAACTTAAAAAACAAAAAATATATATTGAGCCGTATTCTGGTTTTCGTACGAATCCAAAATTTGACATTTTTGAGTTCAAAATGATAGGAAAATTTCATGATTTTCGTACGAACCGAAAATTTGAATTTTTTTTATAGAAAATGATAGGAAAATTAATGATTTTCGATTCATACGAAAACAAGTATACGCCCCATTATGCACAGAATTATTAAAATCATTTGTTCGAAAATGCTATTCAAAGGTATGTTCAAAGGTAACGAATACCTCATGGATTTTCTTTCATATAAAAAAGAGTACTGGGCTTAGCACTGTCGGCAAAAATAAAAAAAATTAAAATTCAACGCGAATTTTAAGACTGTTAAACGTTGCACACTATTGTATTAAAATTGAATTTCTTTTTAATGCTTATTAAAAAGTTTGCAATTTTTGATGAAGTTTTGTAGAACTCTCCTAATTTTCGTACAAACTTAGATTTATATGGTGTTTGTAAAAATATAAGCCATATTTTAATAAAAAAATCAGCCAACAATTTTTAAAATCACCAGATACTATGTGCGTGACTGCAGTTAAAAAAATTAAAATTTTAATTCAAATTGAAATGTTTAAAAAAATGTTATTCTTATATGGACATATACCGTCGCCTGGGTAAAAGATTGTCGTAAGCGTCATACGTACATACATGCGTACCGTACGACAATCTTTTACCTAGGCGACGATATGTACATATATGTATTCTGCATTGAATTTTATTTTTATGAAAAAAAATTATACCTTTTATTATAAAACAAAAGAAAATATTAACATTTTCACTATAGCTCCCCCACGCGGATAGTTCAGGAAAGATAAGTCCAAAAATTGATTCGTCATACCAAAAACCCCTTAAAGCATATAAAATTTATGCACTTCTTTACAACACTGCAGCGAAATTCTAGAAAACCTATTTTCGCAATTTGGCAAAATCCAAATTATTTTAGACCCATGGTTTCTTCGGCAAATTCGTACAATCTTCCTATGCTATTTATCAGGGACGGTAATCATTATGAGTAAAATAATTTAAATCAGCATTTGATCATTATTTAATGATTTTCATTTTTTTCCTTAAAAATAATAATTATTATTGAGTAGAACGTGCGAACACAAATACATGAGAATAGTTAAAATTGTTTTACAACAATTACAACTTGTTGATTTTTTTTGGCTAAAATTAAAAAAATAATTATTATTTTCCGTCCCTGCTATTTATACGCGCACAGTCGAAAAAATCTACCATACAATTCGACCAGACCTAATCTACATATACTATATGTTAATCTACCACATTATGGGTCTTCCCTTAAACTCGTAAAAGCCTCGTAAAGCTCGTAAATTTACGAGCCTCGTAAAAGAACTGTAAAAACTTTTATGGAGCTCTATTTGCGATCCCCTCGTAAATTTACGAGGCAAATTTTATGCGCAAACGACCTCGTAACCTTCAGTTATACTGAAATGTATGATAAAATAATAAAAAAAAAAATTAATAAAAAATAATACGCGAATAAAATTAATGAATTTCATCCACTAACTTGGGGTTTCTGCTAATTTTCGGCATTTTCAACTGTACCTGTACCTTTTCACAAAGCGGGCGTTCCCATAAGCTCGAAAATCTTACGAGTTTTGCACGGTTTAAGACTTTACGAGTTTAAGGGAATCCCTTAATTGTTTTGGAACCTTCCACAATTTTCGAGGCTTATCACCAATAAAAAAAAAAATTGGAGTCCGCACACTGCCTTGAATTAACTCTTCTTTACTTGCTGTCTCCATTAGCGATTGTTCATCTGCTGCGATAGATCTGCGGCGATGAATCGCTTGTGGAGACCACTCATCGCAATTGAAGGAGGTAAATAGCAGGACATATCAGCTTGCGAGCTATCGCAGTTCCACTGCTTGTTTTAACTTTGAATTTTTATAAAGTTATAATTTTTTTTTAAATATATGCTCAAAACAATGTTGGAGTAAGCGGTTTTTGCGAATATAGAAATTTTCGTCATGTAGAATGTACTCGCAAGCACTTTTTGAAATGAAATCTTCTGCGATGAAATGCCCAAGAATAAAAATTTCTCTGCGATGAGCATTTCGCTTGCGATAAAACTAACAGATCTCATGCGATAGCTGTATGCTAATGGGGACGGCAAGTTAGTTTAAGGGCTCTGTCACACGGTCAGTAATTATCCACGACATTTGGATCGCGATCCATATTGATGGATTGATGGATCGCGCACGAATGCTACATGTTCAATATTATTATTTATCGCGTCAGTATTTGCATAATTTTTGTGCTGAACGCTTATTGTGACGCAAGAAAATATTTTTATTTTGTACATATAAATTTACAGATAATGCATTCCACAATTATTTTAAAATTTCCAATGTAAATTAAAATTTGTTCAGATTTGTTTTGAAAGATTTTAAGCCGTGAGAGTGAAGGCAGAGCAGATGTTCGCATTATGAGAGTAAAAGATGCACTGACGAAATGTATGGATCGCGTTTTGAAAGTGCTACACGTTCAATATTTATTGACGGTATTGCGATCCGCGATCCAGATTTCAAAATTTTTAGAAATTTTGCGATATGGATCACGATCCATCAATACTGCAAGCTATACTATCAATAAATATTGCGATACTTGGATCACGTCAATAAAGACTGACCGCGTGACAGTGCCCTAAGACAAGTGTACAATATGTGCTGCTTGTGATGTAAACAAATGCTTAGCTGACGAACCCGGGTTCGAACCGGAATCGGTTATAGGGAATTTACATGATTTAACTTTCACAGGCGATTAATTGAACCAAAAGTTGAACGCTAGTATACAGCTGACCAACTCCATTGAAAGTGATTAGTTCAAATGCCTTCTACACCAGGCAACTGCTGCATTAAACTAACAGTTGCCCGTAAAATCGCCTCATGTAAATTCGCTATTAGGGATCAAAATTTTAAAATTGTCAGAACTCGCCACGAAAACGAATGCTATTCTGAACGGGCCCAAAAAAATAAGAGGAAGCATTTATAGGCAGACTAATTTCGAGGCCGAGGAATTGGTTAAATAAGGACATTTAAACAATTTTACAATGGCGGTAAGTGCAAGGAACCTTTATATTTTAGCGTTTTGCATTTAGCTTCTACCACCTTTGAATTTTGCAGCCATCACAAAAGGGAAAGCAAGGAACGAAAGGAGCAAAGCAGATTGTAGAGGAAAACAAGGCCACACTAAAATTTTATAGGAACATGGCAATTGGATGTAGCGCTGGCACCGTATTGATAAACTTGATATTTTTTGGCATTAGCACAGTGACGGTGGTAGGTACAAGCCAAGAGCTAACCGTTTTCATACGAAAAATAAGAATAAATTAAATTATCGGTTTTGCATTTTTCTCGTATGTAGATTATGGGCATCATTGCCGTACTGTCTCTAACTGCCGCCGTACAGTTCATGGTTTTCATGTCGCGTCCAAAGTACTCGGAAAGCGGCACTATTCTGGATTCTGGTAACGATTTGAATATGGAGGGCGGTATTGCCGAGTAAGTGGAGTTAAAGAAAATATCTGTTGGCAGTCTATGTTCTTATTACATACACTTTTTCCTTGCAGAAATGTAAAAGATTTAATCATTCTGACATCAGGCACACTCTTACTTTCCCTGCTATCCAACTACTTCTGGTTCCTCTTACTCTTGGCGCCTTTGCGGGCCCTCTGGATGTTGTGGGGTAGTGTAATTCAGCCTTGGCTGTCACAACGTAACGCTGCCAACCAAGAACCAGAGTTGGATGAAAAGAAGCAACGTAAACTTGAGCGTAAAATGCGGCGAATGAGATGAGGGTCTAATATGCGCTAAAAGGTCAGCTTACAAATACAGTGCCAAGAGAGCCTTAAGGGAAAATCCAATTAAAATTTCGTTGCAAATGCGAATGATGCCTGTAAAACAGATATACTCGTCGGGTGGGAAACGTGACCCTACAAATATTTAAGTACCTATGTAGATATATGTTTTGTGTTTGTTATTTGGCATCTCGAGCTGCATCAGTATAATGTTAGTTTGGAATTTTTTGTACTTTGGTGCTAGTTGCTTTTTTTTATAAATATTTATACTACAGTTTGGATACAAAAAATAAAAGATTTTTAATTAATAAATGTAAAAAAAAAGGTGAGAACTTCAGTCAACAGTGCTTACGTTATTAAGGCTGTACTACCACGGAAATGCAGTCTTCTTGACAAATTGGAAGGGGCTACGTAGTAATTATCCCAACATTGCAACCTTGTTGCTTACCCGATGCTCTGTTGCTAGTGCTCTAGTGAAAATTTACTGAAATCAAGCAGCAAACATTGTTTATGTTGCATTTATTACTTTTAGGCAACTGATTGTCAAACATTCGTTCCTTAAACTCGTGTTGCAGCCATTCGCCAAAATTTTCCCGTAGTCATAACTTTTCATGTGTAACGGTTTTCCAGAACACGTCGGCTATTCATACATATTTGTATATACGAGGCTTTCGCTGAATCAATCGTAGTAAGATTTTTCGTAAGATTTACTAAAAATACTATCGCGCTGGTCAGATACATGTGCATTAGGTCAAACGTTGTTTTACAATTTTATAAGTAGCTTTAAGAATATACTATACAAATTATTCTACAATGTACATACATATGTACATATATCGAGATCTAACCGCCAAAAAGATGCAAGCGGCATTTTTTTCAAAATTTTATTTTTTACATATTTTTTGCGGTTAGGGTTCGATACATAGAATCTATATAAAAACTGGAAATAGTAAAGGCCATATACATATGCATACTTACAAACTGCATTGGATTAAACTACATTTTCGCCATAAAAAGCAAATCCGCTTTTGATCAAGACCAGGAAGTTAGCAGTTCTGTTTGACGTTTGCCATGTACATACACTGCCGGAACAAAGTATTGGCACAGCAAATTTTTCACAATATATGCAACAATTTTCGTTCTAATATTTTTCCGTTAATTTCCTATAAAAATATGGTTCATTCTACAACATAAAAATATAATTCCTAAGCTTTGTGCAAAACTCGCGAATATTCAGCAAATTTTCATAAAAAATTTCAACTTTTTAATCAGATTTTTAGAATTTTTTTGAGTATGCAGATTTGTAGTCCAATCAATTTTATAATAAAGTGCAAGTTTTAACTAGCTAGGAATTACCGTTGATTTTTGGAAATTTTTTTCACGCAGTCTTCCATACAAAAAAATTTTTCGAAAATTCTTTATATGGAAAAAATGCAAAACACCTTCAACAAA